AAAATTAGCAAATTATTTTGTGTTAAGAATTCGTAAAAAATTTTCTTTTTAAATCTAAGATTTTAAAATGTAATACAAGATTCCTTATAAGATTATCTACCTTTATCAAAAAAAAAATGTCTATAAGAAGTTAAATTAAATTTTTATGAGCTTTTGAAATTTAAATTTTTACAACATTGGATATTCACTCGATTTCTTATGTAGCTATTTTCTTATTTTGTTGTAATTTTAAAACGAATAACTGTAGATACATGAAAATTTCACTGAATGTTTATTTTATCAATTCTTGTACTTGATAACATTTTCAAAATATTTTGACTTGTTTTGAGCTGTTAACGGACAATTTCATATTTAAATTTTTTTTTTCTGTGAATATCAATAAAGTCTTATCTTATCAGTATTATAGTATTATAAAATCTTATCTGTTGGGCCAAAAACTGTAAAAATTTAGTTAAAGGCTCCTGATATATTGTTACAATAGCAGTTGAAAAATATTGAAATGTATAGGCACAATTTTTTTTTATAAGCATTTAAAGATCAAGTTTTGACAAAATGTATCAAATTTAAAATTGAATAATTTTTTTGTAGTTAAGAATGTATAGAATTACATACGGCCGTAAATCCGTGTATCATCGTAAATTTGAGTCCACGCTAAAAAAAATATAAAGATGTGAGTATAGAATATAATACGCCTCATGCCCTCATACCTTCTCCACCAATACTGCAACCATAAGCTAAAATACCGCAAGTAACCAGGGATCGTTTTTGAGATAAACGAGTTTTCATATTTTGCATTTTTTTATAATCATAACACCTTGAGTGTTATGCAATTAATTCTTTTAGCAAGATAACATATATTATATTGTTTTCTTATGTAATTTTATCTGACAAATGTACCTAATGAAATAAAAATAAATATGGTTAAATTCGTTTAAACAACATAATACTTTATTCGCAAAATGGAAGTTTATAAAATGTTGTTTTTAAAGTTTTGTATTATATAATACACTATACTAGTATGTATAATATTATAGGCAGGTTATGCACATCGTGTGTATTTCACGCTTGCCGTGTACATCTAACCGGCAGCATGTCGATTGTCGGCATGTTTACAGTTAAAACCTGTGTGTCACCGAGTTGTTCATTAAATCCCATTCAAACATTTCAGACCACCGCCGCCGTGGTTATACTTATTTAAAATATAGGCGCGTCTGTTTTCCGTTTTTATGTGGACATTGACATTTACATTTTACTTTATTGTGTGTAGACGCATATTATATACGCTGAACTTACATAATAATAATAATATATGTACTGAAACATAAAATATCGTAACGAAACCATTTAACCATGTGCGCGGGTGCACGTGTGTATAGTTGCGGGTAGGTCTACACTACGTGTATGACTGACATAGTCACATAGGTAGGTATAGCCGTATAGGTATCTCTATTCGGTGGTAATATCTATGCTGAAGCGATGTCAGCCATATTATAATATCCACGCTGGCATGGCGTCAAAATTTTTTCCGTAGGCGGACTGTTTGAGGCAAGCCTCTATAATACGCACGCATTCATTTTTAAGAGGGCAGACCAAATGTTCAACTTTTAAAAAACAAAATATGCGTGAATATGCATGTATCGGATTGTACGAAAAGTAGCATACAACTATAGATTACTTATTAATTATTATAATGCGTACCTACTACATGGAAAAGTTTGGCTGACACTGAGTGGCGACCTTCGCACACTTCCGGTTCCTCGGTCATCCGAAGACCGTTTACGAGTATATAGGTACAATTAAATTGTTGCTGTCGTCGTCATTACTGTTTATAATATAATATGCTGGCCCACATAATGTATTTTCTTTTCATAGGCACCTTTACTACGTGTATTTGTTATACCTATTATTATATTACGCAAATTTACACTGTTCGATATAAATCGTAGTCCTCACAAAAAAAAAAAATGCGTACTATACACACTGCAATGGCGGCGCCCATCGGTGTACGTTGAAATATATTGTGGCTATTGTGCACGTGCATGTTATAATGTGTGTCCGTGTAGTTTTCAATGTCGTGTAATAGGCAAAACCAGCCACCGACGATATTACAAAATAAATAATAATAGTCGACGTTATTTGTTTTAATATAAGGTATAATATACCTATACCTTTGTACATCATATATTATTTTATAGTAAGATTATGATCAAGTCGTCACCGTGAGTTGTGTAGGTAAAATTATTGTATTATGTTCATTGTTTAATGATTATGTACCTATATTATATTATATTATATACCTAACTAATTGTATTATGTATTCCAAACACGATCGATGTATCTATACAATTCTTAAACCGTTGTCGTCGAGATATTATACCGTCCACTGTAGTTCAGCGTATACATATATAAATATTAATTAATACGAGTAAAATTTATAAGGCGTATAACACTATAACTATAGTATTATTATTTATTAATAATGATACTTAAATTTGAACATAAAGGTAGATACGTTTTCTGCTCGCAATCCCTAGATATTTTTATTTTTAAATATATCAAGAAATAGATAATAAATCGGTATGTACATATTTCGAAACTATTTAATGAATCTATCTAGGTATAGGTAGTAGGTATCTACGGAGTAATGTAAATATAATATATTATGTAGACATTAAATGAAAAAAAAAAAAAAAAAACCTGATTGCAAATTACATTTTTTTAGATGAATATATGTTTGTATGTTACGATAAAAATTTAAATTATCAGAATGTCAAGGAGTATCCATTCAAAGTAAAATTCATACGTGTGTATTTTTACCTTAGTTTTTTATATCGTTTCGTACCTATGTTATGTCTTAAATATTATACAGAGTCGCAAAATTAAACTGATTAAATTTGACAATAGAGTTTTTGATTAGTTTCTACTTTTCTATAGTGTATAACTACAACGTATACCTACTTAATAGCTTTACATTTTTATATAGGTACAACTATTTTAGTTCACTATTACCATTTAGATAATATTTTATGAGTATTATATAATACATTTCTATATAAATATTAATCACAAATAAATTAATAGATACATTAATTAAACTAAAAAAAATAAGAACAATTAAGAACAATTGAATAGAATTATAATATTTATATTATTACATTATTATTATATTAAAATTATATTATTTTCATAGATAAGTAAAGTATTTAAAATTGTGGTTTTATGTATTTATCAACAAGGTCAATTTTTATTTGGTCCACTTTAAAATAATTGAATGTTTCACATTTGATTATTTGAATTGCTCAATTACTTTAATTAAACTAACTGTACGTAATGATAAATAATAAATTATTAGTTATTATCGTTATTATTTATTAGTTTATTGAAAAGCGGAAGAACTGGTTAAAATATTTTTAAGAGTATATTCAAAATATATTTTTTTACCTAAATTTTTTGTTGTTGTATGAATATATTTACTTTAAACGTTCACTATATACTTCAAATAAATGTTTAATAAAAACCATTTCACATTTATTTTCATCTTTATTTTTTCTTAAACAATATTTAAATTCAACAAAACAAAAAAAAAAAATATTTTATATTTTACTTCAACAATCTAAACTACTAGGTACCTTAAACATATTGAATTAGACTAAAATCGTGTTTGTTTTAAATGTTCATATTCACGCATTCTTCAATTTGGAGCCATAAGTAAAATGTAAAAACCAAAATAAAATTACGTGAACTAAATTGGAAAATAGTTGATATTGTTTTATAAATGAATAAATGAAAAAAAAAAATAGAAATAAAATTGAGAAAATCGTGCCTTATATAGTTATAAGTTATACAATTTATATTTAATAAAATATTTTCCAATTTTTATAATCAATCTTTTGGATTTAACTTTATAGTAATTATTGACTTTATAGTCAAATTATTCGTCCTTATAATATGTTATATGATAAATTGATAAACTAAACGAGATATCCTGATGGATCACTAAAATAAATTACGGTTTTTGTACGAAGAAAACTCTTAACTTAATCTTATATATAAAAATCTCTTGTCACGTCTTTGTCCGGGATAAACTCCGAAACTACTGGACCGATCTTGATGAAATTTTTACAATGTGTGTAATTTGGCCGAACTTAAATGATAGGCTAATTTAAAAAGGAAGAGGACCAACCCCGGGAGGTGCTCAAACGGGAATTGTTTTACTTTTCAAATTATAATATAATATCTAACTATGAAAATGTGAAATTAGACCTCTGGGAAGAAGATAGGTTAATTTACAAATGGTTAAATTTGTTTTTTTTTTATTCATCGGATTTTAGTACGGTTAGGATAGGATTTTGTATAAATTAATTAAAAACGACAAACTTGGTATAACTTTGATACTTTAGAGTTAAATTATACACTTAAGTACAAACAGCACGGGGTCCACGATCTACCGCAGGTAGATTGCCTACATGATAATGTACTGCTGCGAATCAGAATTTTTGTTCTGGGCAACGAAAAAGTTAAGATAAATTTTGAACACCATACACGATACACCGAATATTAAATAACGAATTGAACAAAGTTTGAATCATATTTAACGGGCAACGAAGTGCACGGGATCAGTTAGTATATTATAATATATGATACCATATATAGGTCTAAAATGTACAAATTAAGCATTATTACATTATTATGTTAATATAAAATATAAAATAAATGGCTGGACAAACAGAAAAGTATGGTAATTAAACTAATTAGTAATTCAAAGGTACTTCACAAAAAAAAAACTTCACTGTATTAATGTACATTAAGTAATACGACTAATATCTATATAGTACCTATAAATTTTTCAAAACAATTGAGATTTTCCCGAATTGTATTAACTTAATAAAATATATTTTTTTTTTTTACAAACGTAGAAAAATATTAGGTATCGATATTTTATAATATTCAAGCAATTTTGTATAATATATTATAAATATAAATATTGTATATTTGTACAGGTTGCAGTGGCTGGGATATACGTTATGCCGGTCTTGGATTAGATGCGCTACAGCTGGAAAATATTTGACTACCATAACACTGTTTGTTTTCTTCCAAACGGCATCACAGAGATACTTTTTTTCGACGTTAGAATCGAGAAGTTATAATATACCTAAAGATATATCAAGTATGTATAATAAAATAATAATAGTTAACCATACGAGGAAGTAACAGTGTTCTAACTGATTGCATAACTATACATATACCTAATTGAATTTTTTTGTAACCTAGATTGGCTGTGGATTCTCAGTGGATTTGTTCATTTGATGCTATCGACATTCATTGGATACCGAGGGGGTAAACGCAACAAGAATTCATGGATTGCATTTTTTGGGATCCTGCAAGGAATTTTGGCCGTATTACTGGCAATGATCAATGCGTCCGATCATTACAGTTTTCAACGACCATCAGCATTAGTTTTGGCAACTTTAGGTAATATAATAATAAACGTATACATTATTATATACAATGGATTATCATTTATTACATATTTATATCGACCAAACATAATCCCTCAAAATATGTTCACGTCCTATAGATACGCCGTTATGCGACTCTATTCACGGTGCCCACGTAAAGGAACCGTACGTCCCATTACACTTGGTGAAAACTGCAGTGTTGTTCTTGCTCCAAGTCACCATGTCACTAGGAAGCACAGCCCTATTGGCTCTGGGTCTAGGTCAACTTGACGAATCAGTGGCCCCGACCAAAATACCGGCTTGCATAGGCGTAGTCATCGGTTCGTCACTGCTGGGACTCCAGACAGGGTTGATGGTGGGAAAATTTGCATTCCACGTGAGCGCAGAGTTCAACTTGGCCGGTGACATCGTGTGGCTCAGTAAGTCTCGAATATATATTGTGCACACTCTATACTTCGAATCGAACTCCAAAGCGCTTTTCGTGTAAAAACCTACCATTTATTTCAACAGTTATTGGTCTAATACTAATCGTCGTATCTTTCATCGTGGCTCTATATCCAAGCAGACTGGTCACGAGCCGTGCTTCGACGTTAATACGCAACAGCCCAATTTATCGAAACAACAGATACGGTAAAAATTGTAATTTTAAATTTATGTCGAATTCCGGCATTAACTTGTTCGCATATTTTAATAGATTTCAAGAGCACGCTGGGAAGAATTTTCAGTAACAAGTTAATTTTATCCAATATTGCCGCCATCGCTTGTGTGTATACAGTATTAATCAATATGCTGTACGAAGAACCCAATTATATGGAATCAGTATTTTTCGTACCCAAACACACAATGGATGCAACTGATCAAAATACCATAATCATTGGTTTGTAAATGCAATATATATATTACCTACCTGATGATATAGTAAAATCAATAATGTAGTTGGCATTAAGGGGGCTGGAGCGTAATTCATTCTAAAGAGTAAAAACTAGGTATTTTTTTTTAGCTCATATGAGTCTTGTGAATGTGTTGAAAGTAAATGAACATTAGTGTGTGTAATTCGTAGTACCGATCACGTGTCACCAATTATTACTCTATAAAATTTCAAACATTTTTTTCAAAAAATACTTTAAATTTTGAAAGCAAATTTGAATTCTCCTCTAAATTTACCATGCTTTGACAGTCGTAAATTTTTCATATTCTGTATCAATGTATTTAAATTGTAATTATGAATAATATGATCTATTTTAGATTCTGAGTGAAACGATGAATGTATTGATTTTACAATGATGTGTGTTTTTTAGATTCTGAGTGAAACGATGAATGTATTGATTTTACAATGATGTGTGTTTTTTTTTTATTTTTTTTTTTATTTTTTATTTATTTTTTTTGTGTCTGTGTACACGATAAGTAGTCGAAATAATGCTTCGATTTTCAACTTCAGTATCTTGTTCGATTGGAAAGTGAATATCGTTGGTGCATTGGGAAGGTCAAAATTAAAATTTCCCAGTAGTTTTCAAAAGCGCCGGGAAAAACAAAATAAAAATTAAGGAAAAACGGGAATTTTTACGCAAAATCGATTTTCCAAAATATCGATTTTGGTTTTTGGTGTAACTTTAAAAAAAATGACCGTAGATACATGAAATTTTCAGTGGTTATTTATATTTGCATTTACTATACACGATAACATTTTCAAAATATTTTGATTTATATTGAACTGTTTAGGGACATTTTCAGTTTCCAATTTTATTAGTTTTTTTTTTTATGAATATCAATAAAAATTTATTTGTTGAGTAAAAATACTTGAAAATTTAATACAAGGCTCCTACTATATTGTTTCAAAGACAGATGAAAAATATTAAAAATCGTTAGTCACAGTTTTTTTTTTTTAAGCCTTTAAAGTTCAAAAAATGAAAAAATATGGAAAAATCACGAATATTTGCAAATTATTTCGAGTTAGAAATTCATAAAAATTTTTATTTTTAAATCTAAGATATGAAAATGTAATACAAGATTCCTTATGAGATTTCCTACATTTATCAAAAAAAAAAATTCTATAAGAAAGTCAAATTAAATTTTTATGAGCGTTTGAAATTCAAATTTTTACAACATTGGATATTCACTCGATTTCTCATGTGGCGATTTCCTTATTTTGTTGTAATTCAAAAACGAATTACTGTAGATACATGAAAATTTCACTGAATGTTTATATTAGCATTTCCTATACACCATACAATTTTGAAAATATTTTGACTCTTTTTGAGCCGTTTACGGACATTTTCAGTTTTCAATTTTTTAGGTCCGTTACATTAGCACCACCAAATTTAAAATTCCAAAAAAAAATTATACCAACGATTGTTATTCCATTTGTACACATTTGTAATCCTAATATAAACATTTGTACACCACCCCAAATACCCAAAAAAACGAAATTTCCGTGGTGGTGCTAATGTAACGTTACACCAGCACCACACTTTTTGTACAATCGAGTTATCAGCCCCAAAATGGTACCAACGATTGTTATTCCATTTGTACACATTTGTAATCCTAATATAAACATTTGTACACCACCCCAAATAGCCAAAAAAAACGAAATTTCCGTGGTGGTGCTAATGTAACGTTACACCAGCACCCCACTTTTTGTACATTGGACTTAGGGGCCCCAAAATGGTACCAACGATTGTTATTCCATTTGTACACATTTGTAATCCTAATATAAACATTTGTACACCACCCCAAATAGCCAAAAAAAACGAAATTTCCGTGGTGGTGCTAATGTAACGTTACACCAGCACCCCACTTTTTGTACATTGGACTTAGGGGCCCCAAAATGGTACCAACGATTGTTATTCCATTTGTACACATTTGTAATCCTAATATAAACATTTGTACACCTCCTCAAATGCCCCAAAAAACCTAATTTCCGTGGTGGTGCTAATGTAACGTTACACCAGCACCCCACTTTTTGTACATTGGACTAGGGGCTCCAAAATGGTACCAACGATTGTTATTTCATTTGTACACATTTGTAATCCTAATATAAACATTTGTACACCTCCCAAAATTCCAAAAAAAACGAAATTTCCGTGGTGGTGCTAATGTAACGTTACACCAGCACCCCACTTTTTGTACATTGGACTTAGGGGCCCCAAAATGGTACCAACGATTGTTATTCCATTTGTACACATTTGTAATCCTAATATAAACATTTGTACACCTCCTCAAATGCCCCAAAAATCCTAATTTCCGTGGTGGTGCTAATGTAACGTTACACCAGCACCACACTTTTTGTACAATCGAGTTATCAGCCCCAAAATGGTACCAACGATTGTTATTCCATTTGTACACATTTGTAATCCTAATATAAACATTTGTACACCTCCTCAAATGCCCCAAAAATCCTAATTTCCGTGGTGGTGCTAATGTAACGTTACACCAGCACCCCACTTTTTGTACAATCGAGTTATCAGCCCCAAAATGGTACCAACGATTGTTATTCCATTTGTACACATTTGTAATCCTAATATAAACATTTGTACACCTCCTCAAATGCCCCAAAAATCCTAATTTCCGTGGTGGTGCTAATGTAACGTTACACCAGCACCACACTTTTTGTACAATCGAGTTATCAGCCCCAAAATGGTACCAACGATTGTTATTCCATTTGTACACATTTGTAATCCTAATATAAACATTTGTACACCACCCCAAATAGCCAAAAAACGAAATTTCCGTGGTGGTACTAATGTAACGTTACACCAGCACCCCACTTTTTGTACATTGGACTTAGGGGCCCCAAAATGGTACCAACGATTGTTATTCCATTTGTACACATTTGTAATCCTAATATAAACATTTGTACACCTCCTGAAATGCCCCAAAAAACCTAATTTCCGTGGTGGTGCTAATGTAACGTTACAAAAGCACCCCACTTTTTGTACATTGGACTTAGGGGCTCCAAAATGGTAACAACGATTGTTATTTCATTTGTACACATTTGTAATCCTAATATATTTGTCATACACTGGAAATTGGTACTGTATGTCTGTCTGCTCAGTATATATATATATTATACTTATATTTATTCATTAATAAACTTTTGATACAAAATAAACCTTCCAGATTTACTTCCCTTAATAAATTACTAAACCAAGAATCCAATAGCATGTCAAGCATTAATAAAAATTACTAATTATTATTTAAACATTTAGATAAAAAAGTTTTATCTACATACTTATCTAGATAAATATTGAAAATTCTATCTTCATATTAATCTAGATATTAATTTAGCTAGTAATCTAATATGCATCTAAACGTTATTTTTGCTATCTGAACTCAACACTGACCGTAACCCACACATTGATACTGACGATCGCGAGTGCCTCTTGCCATATTTTCTCCCACCATATTTTCATCCTTAGATCATAAACTATGGATGGATCCATGTTCCTATCTGAGCTTTCTTGTATATACTCGTCGCATATGTCTGCTAATAACTGCATTGTCATTGGGAATATTGAGGGGTCCCAAGCCCGGATTAAGGGGGGGGGGGGGCAGGGGGGCCATGGCCCCCCCTGCCTCCATAGTTAGAATTTATTTAGGGCATCTGATTTGTCCATTACTTTTTTCGTTATAGGCTATATAACACTGCATAAATCACCTAAAATAATATCGATGATTATTTAGCTAGGAAAAAGCTTGTAAATTATAATTTATAAAAAAAGTGATACATTATTCATTATTTATTTCTATACACCTAATAGGTATATTATATTTATTATAACAGGTACCTAATATTAAATAATATACAATGTGCCCCTGGGTGAAGTGACCGGTCAACGTCATATAAAAGTATACCAAAAATGATGAAGAAATACCCTTTAAAGAATGAATCTAGCTTTTTTATTTTTTTAGTTATGGGCAGTTGACTTTTTTTTATCAAAACCATGCGTATCACGCATTTGTTTATGTATCTTCAAAACTTTTCAACATTTTTACGTAATTTTATTTTTATTTTTAAGCTATTTAATTGTCCTATCAACTGACATGCGCAATCAAGCCAGAAATGTGCTAATTATTTTTATTAAACAAAAAAAGAGAAAAAAGTTGGGAAAAATTAGTATTTTTAAAAGGAAATTGTGCATTATTCCAAATAATTTATAATTATATAACTAAGAATTTTTTTTTTGTAGTTTGACAACTAAAATTTACTGAATAGTATAAAATTAAACAATTGACGACCAATTAACCGACTCAATCCTAGAAAAACCAAAATTGTGACGATTAACAGGAATATATTATGAAAACGAAACTTTCAAGCTATTCTAGGTATTATTCAGTAGAATTCAGTAGAATAATACAAAAAACAAAAAACCCATACTAAGTAATAAATTATTTGGAATAATACACGATTTCCTTTAAAAAATGTTAATTTTTGCCAACATTTTTCTAGTTTTTTAATTTAATAAAAATAGTTAGCGCATTTCTAGTTCATTTGCGTATGTCAGAGTGTTGATAGGACAATTTAATAGCTTTAAAATATAAAAAAAATTTGAAATCTTTGATGTGATATGTGTGGTTTTGTTAAAAAAAATGTTAATTGCCCATAACTTAAAAAATAAAAATAGTTAGACCCAATCTTTAAAGGGTATTTCTTCATCATTTTATACTTTCATATGACGTCGGCTGGTCACTTCACCTCGGAACACATTATATACATTAATATTTTTTTTTTGAACTGGGGCCTCATTTAAAACTTTGGCCCCTGGGTCTCAAAATGTATTAATCCGGGCTTGGGGGGACCGATGCACAGTGACTAAGTCGTTCTCTCTTGGGTGGGAGTACGTTCATGTTTTTTTTGTAGGAAAATTTGATGTCTGAAGTACGTGGGGTGGTTGCGAAAAGTTCGAGCGTACATTTTTCATTTTTTTTTGTCACAATAAAGACGTTTTCAGCTATGTAAAAACTTTGGAATGATTTTAAACCGATAACGATGTAACGATGTTTTGACTATTTATATTTAAAAGAACTTGTCCAGACTGACTGACTGATCAATCATTACGACACATCTAAAACTACCAAACCGATTCATATGAGATTTTGATAGAACGTAGATACTTATTACTGTGTTCAGTCAGATTTTCCGAAACTTGAATTGTAATTACAATACATACTCGCTGATTCGAATGTTCGATTTGCGAACATTTGCGTTGGTTGTCGTCGGGATGGTCCATGCGTTTTTGTTATTTTATTTCACATTAGATATTTAGATATTTACGATGCCGGGTTATTTTGATTGTATTTTACAAACGTCAACTGGAGCCTCGATAGTGGTGGTCTCGTCGGGTTATAGGCTTGTGCGTATAAATATATATACATACTAGGGGCAGTAGCCACATACCAGCGATCGCCCGTGAGCGGGGAATACCCGACGACAACAATATTACGCCGTCGATCACCACGGCTACTCAAATTCACGTAGCCCCAATACATATATATTTATATTAATATTTGCTATTAGGTGTTTTGGGGCATTTGAGGAGGTGTACAAATGTTTATATAAGGATTACAAATGTGTACAAATGGAATAACAATCGTTGGTACCATTTTGGGGCTGATAACTCGATTGTACAAAAAGTGTGGTGCTGGTGTAACGTTACATTAGCACCACCACGGAAATTTTGTTTTTTTTTGGAATTTTGGGAGGTGTACAAATGTTTATATTAGGATTACAAATGTGTACAAATGAAATAACAATCGTTGGTACCATTTTGGAGCCCCTAAGTCCAATGTACAAAAAGTGGGGTGCTGGTGTAACGTTACATTAGCACCACCACGGAAATTAGGTTTTTTGGGGCATTTAAGGAGGTGTACAAATGTTTATATTAGGATTACAAATGTGTACAAATGGAATAACAATCGTTGGTACCATTTTGGGGCCCCTAAGACCAATGTACAAAAAGTGGGGTGCTGGTGTAACGTTACATTAGCACCACCACGGAAATTTCGTTTTTTTGGCTATTTGGGGTGGTGTACAAATGTTTATATTAGGATTACAAATGTGTACAAATGAAATAACAATCGTTGGTACCATTTTGGAGCCCCTAAGTTCAATGTACAAAAAGTGGGGTGCTTTTGTAACGTTACATTAGCACCACCACGGAAATTAGGTTTTTTGGGGCATTTGAGGAGGTGTACAAATGTTTATATTAGGATTACAAATGTGTACAAATGGAATAACAATCGTTGGTACCATTTTGGGGCCCCTAAGTCCAATGTACAAAAAGTGGGGTGCTGGTGTAACGTTACATTAGCACCACCACGGAAATTAGGTTTTTTGGGGCATTTGAGGAGGTGTACAAATGTTTATATTAGGATTACAAATGTGTACAAATGGAATAACAATCGTTGGTACCATTTTGGGGCCCCTAAGTCCAATGTACAAAAAGTGGGGTGCTGGTGTAACGTTACATTAGCACCACCACGGAAATTTTGTTTTTTTTTGGAATTTTGGGAGGTGTACAAATGTTTATATTAGGATTACAAATGTGTACAAATGAAATAACAATCGTTGGTACCATTTTGGAGCCCCTAAGTCCAATGTACAAAAAGTGGGGTGCTGGTGTAACGTTACATTAGCACCACCACGGAAATTAGGTTTTTTGGGGCATTTGAGGAGGTGTACAAATGTTTATATTAGGATTACAAATGTGTACAAATGGAATAACAATCGTTGGTACCATTTTGGGGCCCCTAAGACCAATGTACAAAAAGTGGGGTGCTGGTGTAACGTTACATTAGCACCACCACGGAAATTTCGTTTTTTTGGGTATTTGGGGTGGTGTACAAATGTTTATATTAGGATTACAAATGTGTACAAATGAAATAACAATCGTTGGTATAATTTTTTTTTGGAATTTCAAATTTGGTGGTGCTAATGTAACGGACCTCAATTTTTTTAGTTTTTTTTTCTATAAATATCAATAAAGTTTTATCTGTTGGGCCAAAAAGTGTAAAAATTTAATGCAAGGCTCCTGATATATTGTTACAATAGCAGTTGAAAAATATTATAAATACATAGGCACAGTTTTTTTTTATAAGCATTTAAAGATCGCATTTTGACAAAATTTATCAAAATGTCGAAAATGATCAATCATCGTAATTAATAAATTATAAAATGTTCAGTTTTTATAGGTAAGGATTGAAAATTTAAAAAAAAGATTCTCATAAATAGTTCATACTGTAGCCAAAAAATCTAAAAAATATATGAGCACAGTTATTTTTTACAGACATTTTATGTTCAAATTTGGGACGAAATTACATAATCAAAAACCTAGCATACCTATTTTAGTTATTTTGTTGTGAGTGTATAATACTATTCGTGGGTACTTGAAACTTCTAAAGTACACTATATTATATATCTATGATAGTATCAGGGTTTGTTATTGATGTATAACGTGTTATAAGTACCTAATGGATATTGTGATATGATTAATTTGGAATTTATTATAGGTCAATTTTTTTTTAATACCATAGATATGTATATAATATGTCTTAAACCTAGACTGACATACAGTCTTCGCTCAGAATCGTTTTTCTTATACAATGATATTGTATCATTGGATTCAAATTTAATACCATCCATTATACAGTGACCCACTTGTAACCTACTGTACAGCAGAGCGACATCCACTTACCAACCTTTTTATTTTTGTGTCTGTGTACACGATAAGTAGTCGAAATAATGCTTCGATTTTCGACTTCAGTATCTTGTTCGATTGGAAAGTGGGTTATCGTTTGGTGCATTGGGGAGGTCAAAATTTAAAATTCCCAATAGTTTTCACAAGCGCCGGGAAAAACAACATAAAAATGAAGGAAAAACGGGAATTTTTACGCAAAATAGGTTTTTGACAAAATCGAATTTGGTTTTTGGTGTAACTTTAAAACAAATGACTGTAGGAACATGAAATTTTGACTGGTTGTTTATATTTACCTTTTCTATACACGATAACATTTTCAAAATATTTTGATCTATTATGAACTGTTTAGGGATCTTTTCATTTTCCATTTTTTTTTAGTTTTTTTTCTAAAAATATCAATAAAACTTTGTTTGTTGAGTAGAAATACTTGAAAATGTAATACAAGGTTCCTACTATATTGTTTCAAAGGCAGATGAAAAATATTATAATCGTTAGTCACAGTTTTTTTTTATAAGCATTTAAAGTTCAAAAATTGACAAATCACGAAAATTAGCAAATTATTTTGAGTTAAGTATTCGTAAAAATTTTTCTTTTTAAATCTAAGATTTGAAAATGTAATACAAGATTACTCATAAGTTTGTCTACCTTTATCAATAAAAAAATCTCTACCGGACGGTCAAATTAAATTTTTATGAGCGTTTGAAATTCAAATTTTTACAACATTGGATGTTCACTCGATTTCTCATGTAGCGATTTCCTTATTTTATTGTTATTCATAAACGAATAACTATATATACATGAAAATTTCACTGAATGTTTTTATAAGCATTTCCTATACACCATACAATTTTGAAAATATTTTGACTCTTTTTGAGCTGTTTACGGATATTTTCATTTTTAAATTTTTTTAGTTTTTTTTTCTATGAATATCAATAAAGTTTTATCTGTTGGGCCAAAAAGTGTAAAAATTTAATACAAGGCTCCTGATATATTGTTACAATATCAGTTGAAAAATATTAAAAATACATAGGCACAGTTTTTTTTTATAAGCATTTAAAGATCGCATTTTGACAAAATTTATCAAAATGTCGAAAATTATTAATCATCGTAATTAATAAATTATAAAATAATCAGTTTTTATAGCTAAGGATTGAAAATTTAAAACTAGATTCCACGTAAGTAGTTAATTCTTTTACCAAAAAATCTAAAAAATATACTATCACAGTTTATTTTTATAGTCATTTTATGTTCAAATTTGGACGAAATTACACATTAAAAAACCTAGTTATTTTGTTGTGATTATATAATATTATTCATGGGTACCTACTTGAAACTTCTAAAGTTTACTATTATATATCAATGATAGTATCAGGATTTGTTATTGATGTTGATGTATAACGTGTTATAAGTACCTAATGGATATTGTGATAATGTGATATGATTAATTTGTAATTTATTATAGGTCAATTTTTTTTTAATACCATAGATATGTATATAATTTGTCTTAAACCTAGACTGACATACCGTCTTCGCTCAGAATCGTTTTTCTTATACAATGATATTGTATCATTGAATTCAAATTTAATACCATCCATTATACAGTGACCCACTTGTAACCTACAGTACAGCAGAGCGACATCCACTTACCCACCTTTTTACTTTTATTGTTAGTAAATTTCTAATTAAATAAAATAAAAATCAGAAAAATGAAATTGTCAAAGCATGGATAGTTTAGTGACGAATTCAAATCTGCTTTCAAAATTAATTCAAGATCATTATATTGGGCGTAGTGATTGAAGTCGTGAGCTATGTTTTCGACCGAAAATTAATCACGCTCCAGCCCCCTTAATAATTGTGCTCTTATTAATTTTAGCGATTTATGGAATAATTATTGTATTCTGGGATTGCGTTCACTTCGACGTAACGATTCAAACACGCGATGTATGTGTTATATTATAATAATAACCGTGCAACATATTTATGTTTTAGATTTTTTGAGATTTCCTTTGGCAGCGGTTTGCGTGTTTTTATCTGGCGTGTTAATATGTATTACACAGCCAAGAGCCACGTTGTTAGCCGCCTGGAACATTGGCATAATTTGTGTTGTAACTATATTAGTCTTCACCAGCATGTTCCTCAGGTGTTCCAAAATACAAGTACACAATCAATTAACACATAAGTAAGAATCGGTTTGAAAACTAAAAAATAAATCAACTATCACCAGAAGAAACTTACTAGTGTTTCCCGTTGTTCAATGTGTATACAGGTCCGAATTAAACGAATTTTGCAATAAGGATTGCAATTGTCCGGACAATATTCCATTTGAACCGGTTTGTTCGTCCAACAGCCATATAGTCTATTATTCACCCTGTCACGCCGGTTGCAGGACCCAGGATCTATATTCCAGACAGGTGTGTGCATAACTAAATCATAATTCATAATAACAAAAGCTGTAATAAGAAATTAGATTATAAATTTCACAATCTATTCGCATCGCAGGAGTACGTTGGGTGTGCTTGCGTCCAAACTGAATCCGCCAGCAAGCGCGCTTGTTATGATCATAACTGCCACCAAATGAACGTCGGATATCAATCAATTTCAGTGTTGATCCTGTCGTTATTGGGAACTTGTATAGTTGGCACAATAATTTTACTGCTCAGGTAATAATACCGATGAATTTATACTATGTACCAGGTACATATATATATACTACTGTCGGTGATCCATTCAACATGCCTAAATTAATTTGTTTAAGTCAATTTTTGTGTATGATAGATATTATTAGATAATGTTATAGTCACCTAATAATATTTTATGTACCTAACACATATTATACCCGTCGACGGGATTTTAATTTGTTATTCCATTGATTTCCCCTTATGATTTTAGAAGCGTTGAACCTGATGATCGCACCACAGCTTTGGGATTCGCAGTGACTTTTATTTGTTTGATGGGACATGTGCCAGGAAAGATACTTTACCTATTTGTCGGACGTACGTAATAAATGATGGGTCCACAAACTATTTTACTTTTACATAATATATACTTGATTATAAGTGATTCTAAGAATATAGTTTGAGAATATTTAATTTATTTTTCAGATGTAACGTGTATTTTGTATGACAGCAACGATCAGTGCCGGTTAAATGGTGCGGCAACGTTTTCCACCTACCTTAGTCTTTCCAACATATGTAAGCTTAACCTTCCTACAGGCTACAACTGTGGCATGTAAATTGCAAATATTGCTAATATAGTATTTTAACTCGTATCCATAAACTTGTTCACAGGTATACTCATGACGTCATCAGCGCTCTATGCGTGCGTGTGCTTAATGTCAAGGCCACTACGTCCGTATGGAACTTCGGATTCTGCGAAAAAATTTATCGTTAGCTCAGTATCGAGTCCGTTGAGTCCGTTAACACCACCTGGATTTGAAGAACGAGCACCCACACCAACCAGAAAGCCGCCGAAGAGAAGACCGTCTGACTTAACGTTTTCTGCTTCGAACACCAATATCGATTTCACCAGACATACGGACGACTATTCGCCTAGGAGTCCCGGAACAACACTGAGAGAAGGAGGGGTCTTAACCACGTTACTGTAAACTTTTATAAAATAATGTACACACGTGAACTATGAAGGAGATATTATGTGATCTGAATATCCTACGGTTCAGGTCGTTCACGGATGGATATTTTATACATTATACAGCCATAGAGGTACCTATATAATATATTATATATATTATACTACTGGTGCCTCATTTAAGCGTAAACAAAATCAAAATTAAACACGTCATACTATTTACTTTAAAAGTGTATTACGTACCAATCTAGTCTACGGCTTAAGCTGTTTAAAGGAGGATATATTTTGGTCCGAATTCTTAATCTATTAAACTTAATAATAATATTGTACTAGAAAAAAATGTAAAGATGACGGAACTCTTATACATGTACTTACCTAATCAAAAGTTGTATTAATGGTACGAGAATAACCAAAACTAATTTTAATTTTAAATTATAATTATAATGGTGTACCTATAATAGAATACAAAATTAATTGAGGTAATGTATAATATTCTTGTTTTAATTAATAAATTACGAATTTAATTGTACTCAATGTTATATAATTTGTAACGATTAACGATTGACATTTGGTTGTAACCACTGCAGGTACCTATTTTTGTGAATATATGTTTATTTATAATGTTTTTATACATATTAATGTATCATGGATTTTATTTTGTTTTAAGTTAATTCCATTCCCATCTTATAGTAGTTACAAAATAAAATAGGTATTTTCAACTACCCCACTAACTATAATTTATGATGTATAAACATAATTATTGGCTGTATTTAAAATTTACCATACAAATATTTAATACCTAATATAATTGGTAATAAATTGTACTTATTATAAGTGAGTTTATTAATTCACATTGAATTATAACTTTTACCTAATTAACGAATATTTTGTTGGATCAAAAATTATTTATTTTAATTTGGTAGGTATTAGGTTATAAATGCATTGTGTATGCAAATAAATGAAAATTATTATAGTATTTGATACAACTTTAATTTTACACTTCAAATAAAAATGAAGATAATATTAACAGTAAATACTGCTTCTGTAGACTTTTTCTCAGTTTCCTTTGATTTATTGTCACAAAAAACTTTTAAGCCCCCTCTAATTAACAATTTACTTTTTCTCTCAGTTAATAGTCGCAGGGCTTGAAACCGGTATAAACCGTTATAAAATCGAAACCGAGAACAAAATCAAAACCGAAACCGAAAAAAATTGGACACCTGTATTATAATTAAAAACCGAAAATAAAATTTAAAAAACTTTTTTTTATAATAATCATAAAATGTATATTTTAATTTGTGTTCATATTCGGACACGTCATGTATGATTAATAAATATTAAATACTCATTCTTAACCATTCCTTGTAATATTACTAATAAGGCGCCTCTCTATGCATATATTCATATTATAACATATTAGATAAACAAATTGATATGGTTTTAAGTATCTCGTAAATTTTCATAATTTCATTTTAAATAGGTACGACATTTTAAGTCGTATGGACTCAATATTTTGGCATAAAGGTAACAGCATTAACTATTAACAATATATTATAATATTCATTGTTTTGTTATTTTTGCCTAAGTCTAATTGCTTTGAAGTACCTATTACCAATAAATAAATTGTTATAAAACCATTATAGCCAATAGGTACCTACTGAAAATTACATTAGTTTTGTATGATAGTTAGTTTTGAAAAAATGAATCATTAGGATTATGTATTGAAATTATTTATTATTTAGGTATTCTTTTCCGAAACCTGTTTATTTCATTAAATGTAATCTTTACTTAATAAATATTTATTAAACTTTATTTTCGTTACATGAGGATCGATATAGGTAATCATTTATTTGTGTTGTCAAGTTTGTACATTTATAGTCAATAAATTGTTTTCATTTAATTTCTTATTTTTAAAACAAATCAAAGTTTTTGAGTATTTAGATTTGATTTTATTAGGCCCTTAATATTAGGTGTTTATATAATATGATATTTAATATTGTCTACTGTATAATTTATTGTTCGTGTTCCATTTATCTGTTCAAATTAAAATAATCTGAATTCACTGCTTATATTTTCAATTTTTAAATAAATATGCACATGACTAAACGGACCATGTCATTGTGAATATCTGATACTTTCGTCACAAAACATAATACATAATAATTACTAATATAGTAATTAAATAATATTATCATTATAATTATACGACAAAAATTAAATTATGTTTTCCCATTAATGTTATAACCTACCTATGTGTTATTTTGATATTGTAGTTTATGGTTTACATTAATTTAAAAAAATATATGTATATCGTATACAGTGGTGGTCAAACGGGGGAGGGGGATGATGGGGATAGATCCCCCAATGACATTTTTCCCGATAGTCATAACAATTTATAAATAACTATGACTACCTATATATTATGTTTATTATTGTAAAATATATTAAATCTTGTTCTACTTTTTTTTTTGTAAACATAATGATCAAATATGGTATTTCCACAGAATATATCTATGAATGTATTGATATTATAGTGATGCGTGTGTCTATTATCACGTTTTGGGGCAGTAAAAGTGTTTCAATTTTCAACTTCAGGGGTGGTTTCAGATAACAACGTGAATATAATTGGTACTTTGGGGAGTAAACAGTAAAAATGTCGGTAGTTTTCAAATGCACCAGGAAAACCCAAAATCAAAATTGGGGAAAACAGTGAATTTCTACCGACAAAATTTATTTTTTTATTTTGCTGTTTCTCAAAAACTAAAAAAAGTAGATACTTGAAATTTTTACAAAATGTTTTTATTGGAGTCCCCTATACATGATATAATTTTTGAAAGATTTTGAGGTTTTTTGAGCTATTTATAGACAGTTCAAATTTTCGATTTTTTTTAGTTTTTTTTTTTTGGAAATGTTGATATTCATAAACTGTACATATTTCCATTACAAAAAAATCATAAATCGTAAGTTACAATTTTGATATAAAAATAAAAATAGATTTAATTACTATTTATTTCATAATAATATTGTAATTAATTCTTTATGAATAAAGTTTGTATTTATCATAATTGATAAAATTGATATTTAGCATTGCCATAAATATATATAATATAGGTATCATAAAATTACATTTTATTTAAATGGTAAAAATTCAACCACATCCCCCTCCATGGCGAAATCATTTGACCGCCACTGATTGTATATAATTCATTCTAAATTCAGTTTTAAACAGTTACTGTGACGAAAATGTAAATTTAATATTTATGGGTTTATTTATAATGTTTACCTACTTCTTGTTATTGTCTACTTGTTTTAAAATATAAATTAATATTATTGTATTTTGCAACATTTTTATTTTTGATACATTTTGTTGTGGGAAGTACTTCTGGTAATTTCAGAATTATTTAAAATTACAAGTTTAACTAATGAATCTTTTTGCAATTTATTTGACGACATACAATATGCATACGGCAACTACCACGAGTACGTGTTTATTAGAATATTACGATAGGTAAATTATTATTTATTTTATCAGTCATTGTTAATTTCGGTAATGAGATAAACCCAGTGGTATACCTACAGTTTGGTTTTGTACAAAATCATTGGATTTGAAAATATCATTGTGTCTACAAAATATAACAATACCTATACCTACTTTAAAAGCTTCAAGTTCCCACAAATAATATTTTAAAAATATAACAGAAAACTACAATCGCTTTTCTTCGTTTAAATATTTAATTTGAACATATAAAATAACTGATAATACTGTGTTTATTTATTTTTTATTTTTTTTGCTTACAGTACCTATGAAATACTGAGAAACCTTGTTTTTAATTTTTTTATCAACCAAATATTATGCTTACCGTTTTTATATTATTATAATTATTTTGTATATTACGCACTCGTATTCACTGTGTATTTTAAGCGTAACCATTTTTCAAGGAGTTTTATATAGGCCATTTTCATACAATCAGAAGATAAATGCAAAACGAACTATGTTCCGAGATCGTCCAACTATATTGTACCTAATTCGTACAGGTTTTTGAAGTAAAATACTTGTTCGGGAAATTTGAAGTTAGTTTTTAGTGTTAAGATGATAAGCCGTACTCTTCTTTTTATAATGTGTACAATGATTTTTCTAAAAATGTGTTGGCACCCTATAAATTAGTAGAAGAACTTGGTTGATTAATATACCTATTTAATTTTTTTTTGAATAAAAATCATTTTAGAAAGTTGTGAGATAAAAGAAATAAAGTTTACCCGTTCTAAGAATCACTACACAATTGCATGCATATTAATACACTTAATTAAAATAAATATTTTTATAAACTTAAACTTCAATTTAAAAATATGAAAGGAAGTTGTATAAATAAATAAAATGTTGTTATTATATATATCTATTATTAACCTAGTTGGCAGTCGCATACATGGCTTGGATGTTCCTCAATTCCAGCACTAAGATGGTGGCTTGGCCCATTTTTCGCATTGAATACAGTGAATCTACCCATCTATATCATATCGATGTAGAATATAATTCATCACACTAATGGTTGTATTTACTCACGTCACTATAAATATAATTAATTGCAGGAATAATGATAGTCCTGCACATGGCCCCGATCACTAAATGTACTTACAGCTGCAGTTGATTTTATATTTTCAAAGTTTTGTTTAATACATGAAACAGTTAAAAACAAAGTAACAAATTATTTTTTTTATATTGTATCAATCAGTTAGTTAATAAGTTAAGTGTTGACAATTTTATTTTTATAATTAATTGATAACATAATATTGATCTAGTATTTATTTTGTTGGATCAAGAATTAATTTTATACTCGTAAATTCCGTCTTTAAAATATTGTGGTTATCCTAACTAGTATATATTTCACTCTGCCAAAGTGCATACCTATCTCATACCAAGTATTAAAATTGATTCAGTCTAATATGCCAGTAGGTGACATTTTTGATAGGTAACTGAATATTATACAAAATAACCAAAATAAAAAAAATACAATTTGTCTA